ACACCCAGCCCCCGACCCACAAAACCGCCCAGCCCCACCTTGGGTGCGGTCTTGGGTCCGCGCGTTGCGGGCGCGGGGGCGATGGGGTCCGAGACGACAGCCAACTGGTGCGCCGGGATCATGTCGCAGGCGGCCGTCTGGGCCAACGGATCATGAATGTTGCCGTCGCTTGCGGCGCCGTGGAAGTCGAAGGGGCAGCTGTAGAAGGACAGGGGCACCAGGCTGGTGACGTTCTCCTGAGGGGTGGTGGTGGGGATGAGAAGGGGGCGGGGTTTTGGGAGGCAGGACGTGTGAGCAGGAGGGGGAGGACGACGGCGAGCGCGACAGACGCGGCAGCAGAGGGTCCGTTCCTTCCCTCAACTTCAGGCAAGTTGCGTGCCTGGGTGCGCACGTGCACATGACCCCAAGCGCGGCGCACCTTCTCGGGGCCGTCCAAAGCCAGGATCTTGGTGCGCAGCCGTGCTGCGCCGTGGTGCAGGCAACCCGGAGGAAGAGGTCCAATCCCAGGAAGTGCCAAGTACCTGGCAGTAAAGCGCATGCCGCAGCCGTGGAGCAGCAATGCAGCCCGGATCCCAAAGACACAATCATGGTGTCTGTCGTGGCCCCAAGGGCAGCCATGGGAGACACAAGTGGCCGCCCCTTTTGGGACTACGCCCACGCATGCATGGCAGGGCAAAAGAAACAAGATCGGCGCGGTCAGTCAGCCTCGAGTGGGAACACAGAACCAAAGAAGGTCGGCACTACTGCCAGGGCCGAGGGCACCTGCCAGGTGCAACGGCAACAAAGAGGAGGCGGTGCCGCACTGCTCCAGCGGCCACAGCTTGCCAGCATAATCTGGCGCAGCTCATCCCAAGCAACGAGCAGCGGATGCCTCACAACAGGAGTGGCGAGAGTGTGCTGAGCAGACGCACCCTGCGCATTGCGCAGATGCCAGAGCGCTCCTTGCCACCACACCGCAGGGTGCCACTGGGGCAAAGCCACAAGGAGCTTTTGTGGGATACCCCCTGCCTGAAAAAGTGCTATTTGCGTAGTTGCTGCCGTCACCAACATGTCGACGCATAGTGTTGGCGGGTGGGGCTTGGTTTCAGCCCGGCGCCGGGCGCAACGGCTAAAGCGGGTGACTATACTCGCGGGCACGCGTCCGCTTGCCCCGGGAAGGCACTGGGGTGAGAGGTCAGGCCGGAAGAGGGTACAGCAACCCTTGAAACCCTGGCATGCCAAGGCTGAAATCCAGGCACCAGGTTGGGGTGCTGTTGGGAGTGGCATTCCCAAATTATCTGAGTGGTCTTAGCGTTCCATATGATGAACTTCATCCTATGGAAGGGTTGAACCCTGGAAACATCGACGCGTGAGCGATTTGGCGAAACACCACCAACCCTAGCAATGGAGGCACTCGCACGACACGCAGTCCAACGAGCGGTCAGCCCTTCAGCGGAGACGCCGCTGGCCGACCCGCGTGCACCCCTCATACCCGCCCTGTCGGCGGCCGCATATGCAATTGAGAGGGGCCCCGACAGGCTGACTGTGCAACAACAACAGACCTTGGATCCAGAAAAGAACCGACACATCGGCAGTGGCCCATGCCCTGCATGCTAGCACAGGCCGTGCCATGAGGCCTTTCAGGCCTCGGTCCCAGGGATCTGGGCGCCTGGCCGGAAGCAGAAAAAGCGCAGCAGGATGTCGCCGACCGACTCCTGTGGAGCCCTTGGGTCTGCGCCCTCCGCCGCGGCGCCCGTGCTCCTGCCGCTGCCGCGGCGGCTGATGCTCGCGCGCCACGACCGCGCGCCCTCGGACGGCGTGCCGCCGCTGCTGAGCGTGCGGCGGCCGCCGCCGCTGGCCACCGACTGCGCCAGGAGGGCCGAGGCCGCGCTCGCCTCCGCCAGCTGCGCCTCGTATCCCGCAGCCGCCGCCTGGGCGGCCTCCGCCAGGCCCCTGAGCTCCGCCACCTCAGCCTGCAGCACCGCCAGCTCAGCGGCCGCGCCAGCGGCGGCCGCGCCCGCGGCGCTGGCGGCCGCGGCTGCGGCCTCGGCGCGTGCCTCCGCCGACAGGAGCAGGCGCGCCAGGCGGCGGCCCTCGGCCGCCGCCTTGCCCGCGCGCGCCGCGCACGCCCGGGCGGCGCCGTTAGCCTTGCGCGCGGCGGCCTGGCTTGCGTGCCGCTTGGAGCGCTCCTTCATCAGCTGGGCTTGTGCCGCCGCGAGGTCGGTCTTCTTGGTCTTCTTGAGGGCCGCGACGTCCAGCTGCAGGGCCATCTTGGACGCCTGCACAGTGTGTGTGTGTGTGTGTGTGTGTGTGTATGTGTGTGTGTGTGTGTGTTCAAGGGACGAGCCGATTGGCATGCTGCGGGTGGGACGGGCAAGTGCGAGCACGCAAGCAGTGCACACGTCCCCGCTTCACCCCCCTGCCTCTGGCGCAAAGCCTGCAGGCATCAAACAATCTTCGTTCCTGACCTTGAAGATCGTGACAACCCCCGCATGCGCTTTCGTGCAATTCTTGAGGCACCCCGCTCACCCTGACGGCACGCAGCTCTGCTGTGATTGTTGCGGCCCGCTCGTTGGCCGCCTTGCAGCCCAGGTCCGCCTGCGCCAGCGACGCCTGCAAAAAGAGATAATGTAAGATGGTGTTTGAGAGTTGTCCTCAGGAATCAAAAATGGGTTGTGGCCCTGGCAGGTGAGAGAGAAGGTCCTTCAAGGAGTCCTCGTCCCGCCAACACGGCCCCCTAGCACATTCCCTGAGCTGACCGGCGTCACCCCGCAAACCCTGCCCACCAGCCCACCCGCCCGCGCGCGCGCGCACACACACACACACACACACACACACACACACACACACACACACACACACACACACACACAC